GTTAGACTGATCGATAACACTAAATTGTCCCTAGGTGTGAGTGAGAGAGTGAACGGTTGTTTGTCTCGTGTGTCCCTGTGATGGACTGGAGACCTGTCTCACACAATGATGACTGGACATGGGAACCAGTGACCCCCCGTGACCCCAAAAGGAAGAGGTAGGTAAAAGATAACCGATGGACGGATGTAAAGATACTGTATTTATTCTTTTTACTTACTGTCCATTTTTGTTTTTGCTGCTTTTTCTTTGTATATTAGATTGAGAGCTGGGCAGCACAGCTGAGAGCATCTTTAAAACTAGTTTCTTATATGCTGTTTGGAAAAACTAAAATTAACAGCCTTTAAAGAAAACCTATTTACCGGTACTCATTTTTATTTTAATAATTATGACATAAATTTTCCTAAACTGCAAGTAGATTATTTATCTGTCAGTGTATGAGACAAATATGTTTTCCTGTAAATACATGGGCACCTTTGAATGACTAAAGGTTAAAGTTTTATGTTAATATTTCTTCAAACGGTGATGTTTGAAGCAGAGATCATGTAAAAACCAGCTTGACCTGAACGGTGAGATCAGTACGTGCATCTTCTGTAAAAAACTGAACAATTTAATAAAACTAAAGTAGATTATTTTGCTTCACAACCCAAATTTGTTGACGTAATCTCAGTTTCCAAGAAATATCAGTCGAATGCTCTTGTCGCTCGTCTCCAAATTCAATCAGCGCCTCCCACTGAGCGTCAGCGTGGCGTTAGGTTACATGTTGACATTGTTTGTTTGTCCTGAAAAATCTCAAAGCAGAAACTGAAATGTGAAGCAAAGACGTTGAACTGGATCGGTTTTATTTTACAGTGCAGAACATGGGAACGCTGGGATTTTTTTAAATGGTAAAATAAAAGAGACTCACAATTTACTCTGAATACCAGCTGCTGTATTTATTTAGTTAATAGTCAATTTCTGACAGGGTTTCTGTCTACAGCAGCTTCAGATTTGAGTTCTCAGATTTAAGAAAATTAAAAAAACTGAAGAGAAATTTTAGAGATTTTGTACAAGAAAATGTTGTGTGTGAATATAAAATAAAATCTATAATATTTAAGTTTGACAGAGTAAGCCAACGCAGGTCATTTTACTTCAGTCATCTACACATTTTGTCTCATAAATCAAATTAGAATTACTCTTCTAAAGTCCAGTATGAGCAGCAGGAATTAGATCAGGATGTACTTTTTCAGATCTTTAATGTGTCACATATTTAATTAATAAAAAATGATTAAACTAAAACCCCAGCATTCCTTAAAACATGCATTTGTCCTGCCAAGGATGCAAACTAAAATCATCTGAATCTTTGAAAGAATTAATTCAATTGAGTTGAATGAATCCTTTAATGGATGGAGTTAGTCATTTTGGACAAACCTGTTAACTCTCTACTACTACAGCTTCAAATTTAGCCGAGTTATATATTCTGGAGTCACTTAAGGTCGATTGAGCTGTGTTGCTCATCTTCAAATGTTTATAAGTTTTAGCTGTACTGATGACTTTCTAAGAATTTTATTCAAATCTGTCTAAAGTTCAAAGCTGTGGTGGGCACCTAGAATACAGTGGACACTAAACAATCAGTTTTAGCTGCACATCCAGTGATTATCTTCTGAGAGTTTCCTTAAAATCCATCCACTGGTTCACCACATGGTTCAACTGGTCATCATCAACTTCATGCAGACTCTCACACTGGTACATCTTCATCTTTAAATCACGCCTTGGTCTGTTGCCTTCATATATATCCTCCTATAACATGTCACGTTGTTAGTGCAGCTACAGCGTGCGCTCTCAAGACATCATTAGCTTCCCCTCAGTGTGGACTGAACTAGGCAAAAGGGCCTTCTCCTACTCTGCTCCTGTTTCCTGGAACACCTTACAAAAAGCTCTGAAGCTCTCAACGTTGACCTCTCTAAGGGATTTTAAACAATTGATAAGTTCAATGCACAAATCAATGCAGACATGTTCCTTTTGGTATTTTACCCCATTTCATAATGCAGCTCGATTTTAGTTTGTTTCATATTACTACTTTCATTTATTTATCATTTTATATGCTTTTTATGATTGTTTATTGTTGTGTCTCATCTGTGGTTTTTGTTTAAATCAGGTCTCTCTTGTGAATGAGTTCTTGTGACTCAATGAGACTAACCTGTACAAATAAAGGTTGAATGAATAAGATATATACCAATGAATGTAGGAACACAGAGGCCAAATAAATAAAATAAATCACCTCATCTTCAGCCGTGGCCAGTAAAAGATACCAGGTCCAAAGCAGTTGGTGCCTCGTGGTTCAAGTTAATCACTGTAGTTTTTCAATCTTGCTGTCTTATAAATTTATTAATTAAAATTTGAAACATCACTGTATAAATTCTTAAAAGGGCAAGATACCTTGTGCCTTACAAAAATATGTAAAATTATATTCAATGTGGATACTAAATAGGTAAGTGCTAAATAGATGATAATGAAACATTACTTTATCTGGTAATAAACATAAAACAAGCGTTAAGTCAGACCAACAACTCACTGATTTTGAACAGAAAATTTGTTCTGCTGGTCTTTATAGTCTGTGATGTCAAAGTGTCTATGAGCACTTGTCTAGAAAAAAAAGTTGAACACTTTTCCACAGAAAGTTTAAAAAAGTCTGCACAGATTTATTAAATTATGATAGTGAAACAATATTACAGGAATTAAATGCTAAATCAAGGTTTGAAAGTGGAACATACTTCTCAAACAAATACATATCTCAATGTTAACACATTAATTATATCAATTAAAAAAACAACCTGTTATTGTAATAAATACCTTCATTAGAATATATTACAGATGTAGGATGTACAAACCGGTGCAGATAGCTGCATGTCAGAGTAAAAATGTGCTCAAAGCTCTGCTGCCATGCATTTTTTACAAAAAGAAAAATAAATCTGCAACAAACTGAAGCTACTTGGCTCAAAAGAATCCATATTTCAAGCATTACTTTTCCCCCAAACTCGACAGAATCTGTGCAAAATATGCAGCATTTGGATTGAGATAATAAAAAAACTTCTTGATATATACATTTTCTTTATCTTAAACAATAAAAACCTGAAAAACGTGCTTTGTTAAAGTCAGGCATAGCTTCTTTAAATATTCGGAGACGTAAATTTATTTGAGATCACAACGTGATGTAGCCTCAAATAATAAATAAATTAAACAACACAGGAAATGTGGAGTGTAGAACAGTCCCTGCTGCTTTCTGGACTCATTTCCATATCAAGAACAGTGTATCAAAGGCCGTCCTCCAACCAGGGCCTGGATTTGATGTGGTAAATCATATAAGTCTGCAATCAATATTTAATTAAGAGTTGGATGCAGAGGATATATATTTCATGTTGGCTATATGGGGAAGCAAAGAGTTACTGAGCTGGAATGCTGGGGAGGAATCAATTTGCATCTGCAATGATTGAGTACGGCAGCAGATTTTTCTCTCGCGCCGCCTCCCTCCTTCCCATCTTCACTGAAAGACAGACAGACAGAGACAGGAGAAATATGGCAGTGCTTTACTCTCTGTGGCGAACCAATTGTCTCCTCAGAGGAATACGCTGCCATCAGTCTCCGTCATTTTCCTGTCTGACATCACTGATGTAACTGCTAAAGCCACGCGTGAAGTGGAGGGAGTTCACCCCATCCTCTCCAACGCATCACACATTCAAGATCAAACAAGGAAGCACAAGACTAGAAGGAACCATATTTTTTGGACGATAAGGTGCACTTAAAATCCTTTAATTTTCTCAAAAGTCGACAGTAAGCCTTATAATCAGGTGTGCCTTATGTATTAATTCTGGTTGTGCTTACTGACCTCGAACCGATTTTATGTGGTTATTGTGAATGAGTTGAATAAAGTTCGATTTATCTGTTTTGTTTCGCTTAATTCGCCTTATAATCCGGTGCGTCTTATGGTCCGAAAAATATGGTAAATACACAGTGTCAAAGGTAAAGCAGCAAGCAAATGGTAAATGGACTGCACTTATATAGCACCTTTCTATCTTATGAAGACACTCTAAGTTCTTTAAACTACAATCTGTGTCCTCATTCACCCATTCATACAGCGCTCTACTAGATCTATACAAAGCTAATTGAACAAATCATTCTAAAGAGACTAATCGGTGCTTTATCACATTCATAAACCGATGGGACACACATCGGAGGCAACGAGGGGTTCAGTGTCTTGCCCAGGGACACTTGGGCATGCGACTGCTGGTGGATTCGAACCCCCGACTCTTACATTGGAGGACGACTGCTCTAACCACTCAGCCACAGCGACACATGGAGGTTTGTAGTTAATGTAGTGTTGCCACCTTTTTAAAGTGCCTGTTGATTTGTTCTGAGGTCAGTTTAAAGCGTGAAAATAGTATCTGATTTTGCGAAGATACTTTAAAAAAGCAGGAATAAAAAGGCAATAAGGCATGGCACGTTTTGGCATTTTTAACTCTCACAAAATTGGTGCCTTAAGGAGAAATGTGAAATAATTACACAACAATTAAACAATGAAATTCAGTTTAAAAAAAACCGATGCATTATGTACAACAGTGCGTGTTTTTAAGAAATGCTTCAGGTTAAATCCTGGGTATCGTCCGTCTGAAACACAACCAGGTACACAAGATTACTCAGAAATGATGTAACCTCAAGTATTGGCCGGTAAAGAGTCCTAGCAACAAACCGGCTACAGATGAGTGGAAGAAGACAGAATCCTGGACTCGGCTGTCGATTGTTCCAGTGGCTCAGCTCCTTTTCTTCACAATCAATAAACATTTGTTCTGATCGTCAATGAGAGCTGAGCGAGAGAAGATCACGTTTTTGAATCACACGTTCTTTTCTCTTTAAGGACTGAGCGGTGCTGAAGAAAGCCAACACAGGGAGAGGAGGAGAGATAAGCGAGGCTGACAGCTATGACTCAGTCCGCTCGTTATCCGCAGGTGAAAACGAGATTCACGCTCCGCTGCTTCCTCCTCTACGGGGAGCTCAGCTTTCTCACCTTCAGGTTCCCCGGGTCTGCACGAATAACACACAGGCTTTTAATAAGAAAATCAAAGGATGACTCGACACAGAGGTCCGTGACTTTTCTTTACCTCCTAGTCTGGGGGAGTGTTCTTGGCTGTTTCCTATAATTACGTGCAGACTGGGAGCTGAGATGAATCCCTCCTGCTGTCGACTCTGATTTTTCACCAGCCTTTCCACCACCATGATAAATGGAGATGACAAAGAGGAAATATTTGATAAATGAACTCTGTTAATAGGTTTATTAGCTCTTTTACATTCTACAAAATGATGTTTCAACATTTTTACATTACAAATCAGGCCTGATGAAGCTACCTTTAATGCACCGTCTTATACAGAGAGATAATAGCTGATCACGTATGTCATTTGAGACATTTACTGATCAAATGTGGTTGAAAACTTACCAGCGTCCCCTGCTGTCCTCACATAGTAGATGGATGACGTCTCCAGATTTGATGAGGGTGCTGTCTGGTCCATTCTGGGGACAGTCAGCCAAAGCCCTGTATCTCCCTGGAAACTACCAGGGATTAAATTAAGTTAAAAAAGGAATGGGCGCCATTTTCAAACGTCTAAAACGAAAACTGATGGCAACCATTCGTGTGTAAATACAAAACAAGGTGGATCATTTCTCAGCTGTTTTGAATAAATAAAGGCTGAAAAACATTTAATTATATTGTATAAAGAAGATCAGGCAGGATTTCAACACTTACAATAAAACAAGCTGAATGAAAAAATGGAGAAATGTCACAGATACAAAGACAATAACTACAGGGTGTCATAACACCACATTTATTAAGTTCTTTTTAAAATCTGGTATTAGAAATGTTTATGATTTTTCCATGAAAGCATTACGCTGACAAAATGTAATTTCTAAACAACAAAAGTGTGAAAAAAGATGATCTTGAATTAGACGGTGCAGTTTAAGAGTGCGCTCCGGTGGTTTTCAAGATAAAATATGAAATTTTGAAAATCGTCAAACTTGTAATGAGAATCTTTTTTTAAAATTTAATATAAAATATCCTGTATGGTAATACTATTTTTTACTTGTTGTTAGCTCTAGTGAAATATATGGGCTAAGTGAAGGTTTAATGCTTTCATATAATCTAATTACCGTATTTTCCGTTGTACATGTCGCATCAGTCCAAAAATGTCTAATAAAGTGGGAAAAAACATAAATAAGTTGCTTCGCTGTATAAGACACATTTGCTATGCGTCATGTTTGTTAATTGTCACCGCTGACCATCCGGAAATGTGCCAAAAATCGATTGGCTGCCAAAATGGTGGCCGTGACAGCGTGCACAGGAGGACTTTAACAAGAATTTAACAAGATTAACACTTAAAAAAACATTATTTGTTTGCTCAAAATTATAGCAAAGGTGTGTTTCAGTCTAACTTTTCCTTAATAAAAGCACTTCAATGGTCAAATCAGCTGCATTTCAACATTTGATTCATGGCTGCTGGAGCGCACAGAAGGAGGACTTGCTGTGCATTTCTTCTAAATTTAACACGATAACCACCTAAAAACAATTATTTGTTTGCTCAACATTATAGTAAAGGTGTGTCTCAGTTGAACTTTTCCTTTAAAAAAAAGCACCGTAATGGTCAAATCAGCTGCATTTCACCTGGGCGGCACGACGAAATGCAGCTGATTTGACGTTTGCTCCAGGAGTTCTGGAGCGAGACAAAGGTAGTTTAGTATGGCAAGCCAAGTGTCTCAGTAAAAGCCACTTTTACCTATTAATGAGACACTTGGCTTGCCATATTGGTTGAGGGCCCTCTAGCAGATGAAAATTGTAATGTTTAATGTTTTTAATGTTAGAATGAATGAAATTATCAGCTCTCAACCAAAAATTGGTTTATAAATATGGGAAAAAAATGTATATTAGTCTCTTTGGTGCATAAGTCACAGGACTTGCAAATTTATGCAAAAAGGTGCAACTTATATGATGAAAAATACAGTAATTACAATCCACTTATGTAATTATGACAGGTTTTCACTTTTGAACAAATTATGAACGTCTTTTTAAAAATATCCATGACGTTTATTGAGTCTTGTCGATGTAAATGCCTTATAGCTGGTAGGAAACTAGCAATATTGTAAAACGTTTCTTCCTGTATTGATAGAATCTAAAAAGAAACATGAAAATTAAATTTTAGACTTCAAGCAATTTTTTAACAATAAAAAAATAACTTTTACTGAAGTAAACAATAAACTATGTGCACAGTTTGCATATTATTACCAGTTTGAGTAAGTTTTTCTCCTCCGTCTCTGGTGGGTGGAATGTGTCCTGATCTCCAGTCCACTCCTCCAGACCCTCGCAGATGTCTACAGATTGATGAGCTCCGGGCCAACCTGGGACACAGACGCTGCTGTTAAAGGCACTAAAAAGCACGTTCTCCAAAACATTACACCTTAAAAAGCTCTGTGTAGATACTTAGTAACAATGTCGACAATAAAATGACCCGTTTGTCACTTACTGGGAAATTAACAAGAACGTAGAATCAAATGCTAATCTCAAGAGCTGGACCTTTTTCCCCCAAAGTCCACGATGTACCTGGTTCTTCAGGTCAAAGTACACCTGAACTGCTGAAGGGTGGAAAGTCAAATACAGGTGCGAGTCAGAAAATTATAATATTGTGAAAAAGTTTAATTTTTATGGTCAATCACTGCAGAAAGTGAAACACACAAATTTTATAGCTTCTTCACACAGAGTGAAATATTTCAAGCCTTCATTTCTTGTAATTTTCATGATTATAGTTTACAGATGATGGAAAATCAATTCAAAGAACTGGACTGTTGCTCAGTGGTCCAATGTCCTCTTTTCACATTTAAGATTATTTTACATGTAATTTGGGAATCAAGGTCCCAGAGTGTGGAGGAAGAGTGGAGAGGCCCAGAATCCACGTTACTTAAAGTCCAGAGTGAAGTTTCCACAGTCAGTGATGGTTTGGGTCCATGCCCTCTGCTGGTGTTGGTCCACAGTCCACGCAGCATCTAGCAGGACATTTTAGAAGAACTTCATGTTTCCTTCTGCTGACGAGCTTAATGGAGATGCTGATTTCATTTTCCAGCAGGACTCGGCTCCTGCCCACTCTGACAAAGGTACCAAAAGCTGACTGTGGAATATTCTAATTTCCAGAGACACTGAGTTTTGTTTTTTCATTATTTGAAGCCATAATCATCAAAATTACAAGAAATAAAGGTTTGAGTAATTTTACTCTGTGTAATGAATCTATACAAGTTTCTTTTTCTGAAATAGTTGACGAAAAATTTAACTTTTTCACCATATTCTAATTTTTTTAGACGCACCTGTATCTAAATTAGGTTAATGTTGCAAATTAAATCAGAACTGCAAAAGAGTGCAAAGCACATGTGATTTATGTACATTTTTGATTTTTGTTACTAAGTATCTACGTGATTAGACAACAGAAATGAGTTTTACTCACTCCTACGATTGGGCTGGAGGTGTTTGGAGGAGTGAGGCTGGGGTTCTGGACTGCTCCTCCCTGACTCCGTGTCTTCTGAGCTCACTGACTCTCTCTGCTGTTTGCTGTGAAAGTCAAAGAAACAACCTTTTGAAATGGCACAGCCACGCTCAGGACAGACGTTGCCCTCGGCCATAAAAGCTGGGGTTTGTTTATGATCCGATTCATTAAAATAAATGTACCCAGATTCATGTTGAGAACAAATCTGTCCCAGTGTCTCTCACATAGCCACAGCCAGTTATCACAGAACACAGCAGCCACTTGCAAGCCTCTCAGACCAAGTCAGGAAACAGAACTTACAAGCCATCATCACAATGATTGCAAAGAAAATGCACGTGTCAAAAACTTGGAAGATCTGGTCTCGATTTATTAGAAGTTTGATCTTTGTTTAGTATTTACTTTATTCATGGGAAAACATGTCCATCATAAATTTTAGAAGTAGCTTATTACTGAAAAAAAAAAAAAAAAACGAGCCCCATCTTAAAATATAAGTCGTGAGGAAATTAAGAAAAATCATGTAACGTAAGTAAAACTCTTGGTTTGTTTTCTGGTGTTACATGCAATATAGTAAATCTAAGATGCAGAATTAAGGGATTGTGTTTTGATACCATGTTAGAAAGCCATGGAGGAGATGCTGAGGCACTGTGGTGGTCAGTTATGATCTGAAATGGAGGCAGCACAAAAAAAAAAAAAGTAGAGGTGTGGCTAGCTGACGACCAGTTAGCAAACACAGCAGCCAAAGGCTTTTGATCCTCATGCCATGACGAGGTGAGCTGGGCTGCAACAGGCTGAGTTTACCACTGAGCATTACAGCAGGTCAGTGGCACTGGGAGCAGTGGGGACGCGGCCGGGGTCTTTGCCGGGGGCTCCGGGGACGGGGGCTCCGGGACCGCAGGCACAGAAACACGTCAGCTGACAGGGAGACAAAGTCCAGTCCCGGCAGACAGCCCCTAGGAACCCCTCTGGATGGCCGCATGCCCCTGCAAGTGGGGGATTTGGAGGAGTGGGGATAGGCAACTGGACAGCAGTGAACATGAACAGAGAGGAGCTTGTGGCCGCTCTCATACCGCCACACACAAAGCCTCAGAACAGAGCAACATGAAATGAGAGTTACATCCACTCCAACCTACAGTACATGTATGTTTTCTGTGGACCTGTGAGCCCGTGCTACTACGACCCAGTTTTTAGGTGAACCAAAGATACTGACCTCTCTGTGAGTGATGGAGAAATCTGCATGTGTTCAGCAGCTGGACCATGTTGATGCGCTCCATCTAAGAAGAAGAGGAGGAGGAGGAAGCTGTGAGAAGATACTGAGACCAAAGATGTCAATTCAACAAACCCAGTTTTAATAATAGCCAGAATGTGTTTTTAAATAAGTATGTAATTATGTTTGAACTTTTATTTAACATAAATAAACAAAAAACTGGGATGACCAGTGATTTTTGAATATATGATCTCTAATTAAAATGGACAAAATTGATTAAATAATGTGACCTAATGCAACTTGCTAAGCTGCTAACAAGACCACGCTGCTAACAGAACAGAACCATGATGCTGAAAGAACCTCACTGCTAACCAAATCACACTGTAGATGATTTTCTTTTTAAACTTTGGTGCCTTGTTTGTAGTAGCATTTTTTAATGATTTTAGTATTTTTGCTGCATGCTTGATATTTCTTGTTGTTGTTGTTTTTTTTTGTTGTTTTTGGGGGGCAAGTCGTGATGGTTCTTCTCATCCTAAGCATTTCATTGCATTGATGTCCTTGTGTTGATTTGGCACATGACAACTAAACCTAACCTGAACCTGATCATCCTAATCTTGTTTAAATGTTGTTGTTTTTTTTTAAACTGTCACCTGGTAGTGATCCAACAAGTTGTTTCCCAAAAGTCTTTTTCCGGTCTGCCACTGCCAGAATATAATCATCCCCCTCCATGAAAATGTGAACACATCTCTGCGTGCAAAGCTTCTGTTTCATAAGATTTTTTTATTGTTCTCGCTGCAGAACTTGCGTTGAATAAACTTTACGTCACCACAAGTCTCAACCATGTAAAAACATTATTTTTTAAACAAAAATACGAAAGAGGCAACCATCCTCAATCACGAAGCAGCAGCTGAGATTAGCGCTCGTTCCGCCTGCTTTCTCTGCTTTAAGGCAGTTTGTTGTTGTGCTGCCATTTGTGCTTTAATAATGAATCCTGCATGAATTAAAACGCTTCATGATATTTGCTATTTTAAAAGTGTAAACAAATCTACCAGCGAAAACCCCCCCCACTAAATAGAGATGCAAGCAAGGGCTGAAAGTTGGCTACATTTAAAACCAGCTCATGTTTAGTTGATCACAGACCTCTGAGCAGCTTCTGCTGGTTGGTCAGAATTCGTCGGAGCTCGTTGAGCCAGGCCAACTTCACCTCCACTGACGGTGCCTGAGGAACAACACGCACAGTGCACGTTAAAACCATGTAAAATATTGCCGCTTCATTCAACTACTTGTTCATACTTTCTTAAAAGATTTGAAATTTTTGCTGATCGATTAAACAGTTTTAAAATAGTTTCTGACTGACCAGCATATATTTAGGAAAGTTTTTATAAAGTAAGAAATGCCTTAAATATCCACAAATTGCTCTTACCTGAACTAAATAAACCTCCTCTCTGCCACTGTACCAAATCTCAAACTTTTTTACATCTCCCTTAACGTTCTCGGTGATCCCCACTGCAGTCATCTGCCAAGAGACGAACACAGATTCACACACGCGTGTTACATCACATAACACACGCATCCTGCTCCAACTCAAAACCATTTGCTCTTTTAACATGCCTCTACTGAGTGACTGCTTCCTCCCAACTTCCTTAATAATAAATCAAGAGCTGGAGTTACAGACGTGACGCCCCGCCCATCAACAAATAAAACAAAATGTCACAGGAACACATCAGGTTCTGTTCCCCGCTGAGCAGCTTAAAGGTGTTGCTCCACCACCAGCACAGACAAAAATATCAGCTGTGTGCTGCCTGTGAATAATTCTCTTCATCAACCAGCTCTAAAAACACAATGTTAGTGACATCTACTTGTTTTCCTGCCTTTCATCCAGTCAGAGTGAAAAAGTGTCTTTTTAGAATTGGTTTATTATTGAATGAGAAGGTTTTGATCAGTAACCTCAAATGAACCCTATGTATTTCAGGGGAGTTCAATAAGTTTTAAAGTGATGAAAACCTCAGACTTTTTTTGTTTTATTGATAGACAGACACAAATAGTTTTAATCAAAGTGGGACAGCATCATAAATTGGAAGCCTGAGCAAATGTATTTTCTTTCAGGCAGTCGGTTTCTGCATAGTTCGGCCTATGTAAGAATTAGCTTCAAAAATACAAATTATGGGACTATTTGGTTTTAAAAAGACAAATTGCAGAATTTTTTTATATGTTTTAAGTATTTTTCATGTTAGGATGTTCAACTTTTAAAAGAGTCTCCAAAAAAGTTTTTGTTTGTTGAGACGTTTCGTCGTCCATCCCAGTGGTGTAGTCTATGTGATACGTGGGCATACGGAGTATACCCACTAGAAAAGCTTAAGAATTTCAGTAAACCTACTTAAAAGTGCCCAGTGATATGTAACATATCATTGGGCACGTCATTGAGACGTTAAACAGCAGTTAAATGCTTCTGTAACAATCTGCCGGTATGCAGCGCTTCTTTATTACATTCTCTTATCCAGCCAATTATTGTATAATTCTGTACTTAATACTTGAACGTGTTTTGCTTTTATACTGTTTTATAAATTCTATAACATGTTTATAACACAAATCCAACTGTTGTACAAAGTTTGTTGTACATTTATTGAAATATAAGCATCAGAGAAATTTGGTAATGTTCAATATGTTTAAAGATCAAAATAAATTGACGATTACATTGCACTAACTGGTGTACTTTGGTTTCTAAGCACAGTATATCCACTACAAAAATGTAGACTACACCACTGCTTCATCCAAAGGACTTCATCAATCCGAGGGGCCAAACAATCTGAGTCCCACAAGCAGCACACTCCCTTAATGGACCAAACAGTTTGCTGGTGATAAGATGGTTTCTGGGGCCTGCCCTCTCCCCTTGATGAAGTCCTTTGGATGAAGGACAAAATGACTCAAAAAAATAAATAAATAAAGAAACTGTCCAGAGGAACTGACTGAACTTTGTTGGATTTTTTACCTGGATTATTGAGCATGAACTTTGATGTTTTGAACCACTTTGGCTGTGGCTGCCTCAAAGGAGTCGACGGGGGAGAGGTCGAGCCCCAGAAACCATCTTATCACCAGCAAACTGGTTGGTCCACTATGGGAATGTGCTGCTTGTGGGACTGAGTTTGTTTGTGGCTCCTTGGACTGATGAAGTCCTTTGGATGAAGGACGAAACATCTCAACAACAACAAAGAAAAAAAACATCCAGATGACTTGACTGAACTTTGTTGGATTTTTTTACCTGGATTACTGAGGACGAACGTTGATGTTTTAAAAGAGTAATTTCTATCATGTCTGTGATTTGTTCAAATTTTCTCTATAAAACAGCTGAATAAAGATCATCTGAGTCATGCTTCCATTATTTTTTAGGGCAGGGGTTGTATTTGTAACATACAGTAGTTTCATCTGCCTGTGTTCCACAGACTGACCTTGAGACAGTGCTTGAAGCTGTACAAGGAGGTCTTGACGCTGCTGTCTCCATGCTCCTCTCTACGCTTGCAGAGCAGCAGAGCTTTCTCGTACAAGAAGAAGTGCCTTTGCATCGGCTTGAAGCGAGCCAGCTCCTTCATGCGGGTGGCACCTCTCTTATGGCTGATCCACACACTGAAGGAACCCTGCATCAGCACCCGGCCCAGCTCGCAGATATCACCCTGCATCAGGGGAGACATTTATGTTGCTTCAGATACAGTCAGCGCACATAAAGCCAATTTAAAAAAATATATATATATATTTATTTTTTACCTCATATCCTGTGATGGCAATCTGATGCATGGAGTCATTGACTGATTTGAGCAGGTCCAGCATAGCTGTCAGCGCCCCCTGCAGCTCAGATGTGCTCTCACAATCTGAGCTGTATTTCAGCAGCTCCTAACAAAATATCCATTCAGCTCATGTTGTCAAAAATACACACAAAATATATGCAGTGCAATATAAATAAAAGTTAGCAGAAAGCTTTTCTTCTTTAAATCATTCTTGTATTCAGCTCTTTGCTTTCATCAGAATTGAAAATTTAAGGTTAGTCGTTAGGAAAAACACAACTTTTGACTTTCTAACCTTGAGCAGCAGCTGGTATTTGGTGAGACGTTGGACTGGTTTCAACAGGTAGGAATCCAGGGCCAGTTTGTGCTCTAGCTTTTTCTGGCACTCCTTCAATAAAAAGATTAATTTAACAAACGTGTATGTCATGATTCTCTCAAACAATTCACAGTGCTATTTTTCTTAAATGCTGAAATAATCATTTTGGGGTGTAAAAATACTTAAAATCTTGCCCAATACTGAAACGAAGTAAAAATGTCCACATTTACCTGAAAAAAGGCACAGTCTGAGAACTGTCTCCACAGCGCTTCAGAGCGCAGCTTATTCTGACAGTACCATTCATACATCTGGAAACTTCCTTTCTGCGGAGACAATGAGAATAACAGCACAAATGATCATGAGAACATAGGAAATGCAAATCCTGATCAACTCACCCGTTCAAGGAAGCACGCTCCAACAGTTTCAGGAGCCTCAAGACATCCTTCCAGATCCTGAAGAAATACCCTGAATTAAAAAAAAGAACACAAGAAGCAAAAAATACATAAAACACAAGTTTCAACACTAAACTTTCCTCTATAATTTTTGCACAACTAGAATACATATATTTTACGTTGTGTAAATCACTCATCAGTCAAACTTATATATATATATATATATATATATATATATATATATATATATACACACATTTATAAACATATAAATACATATACAGTACATAATACATATATCCATCCATCATCTTTTGTCTGCTTCTTCCTTTTTGGGTGCCCATATCCAATGATCACTGTGCGAGAGGTGGGGGACACCCTGGACAAGTTGCAGGTCCATCACAGGGACACATAGAGACAAATGAGACAAACAACCATTCACAGTCTCATTCACACCTACGGACAATTTAGAGTTACCAATTATGATAATGCAAGTTCCAGAGAACATGCAAGCTCCACCCAGAGGGGTCCCTGGCCTGGATTCAATCCGGTGACCTTCTCGCTGAGAGGCAGCACCTTTGCCAACTGCGCCACCATGCTGCCATATATATATATATATATATATATATATATATATATATATATATATAGTATAATTTAACAAGATTTGAAAAAGGTTCAAACTAGAACTATACAAACAACTATATATAATATATACTTAGAAAAGATTAGTTTCTTCCCAAAACACCTGAATGAAATATTCCTAATATATTGAAACAAGTGGAAACCCTATTTGCTTTATGTCAAGTCAAAGTGAAATATCAGAATAGATAAGTGATTATAATTGTGAAAGAAAGAAATACAAAAAATTTAGTTTTCTGTCATTCAAGTTCAAAGAATATCAGCACCGCTACAAGTACAGGACACTTTACCAGCAACAGTTGCTACTCTTATTCTTTGCTCTGGTTATGCTTTTTATTTAATAAAAATAAATAAGTAAAAATGACTTTTAAAGAAATACACATCAATATTCAGCTGCTGTTTTCATTCTTAATGCCGTTTTGTTAAATGTGTTTTTTGCCATGTTAAAATATGCAATATGGAGGGGTTCACTGTTTCTGTATGTTCAGATGGCTTTTTTTTTGTTGTGACCGTTTAAAAAACATTTACCTGCTGTGAAAATTGTAGATCTCAGGCATGTTTCCAAAAAGAATGTCTCTTTTACTTCGAAGTGTTGGAGGTAGAAGACCTGACAGAGCTGGATTGTCCATTTCAGCCCTGTAACCCTGTAATTATGATATCAACATGATTTTTGCTATAATTCTATTTTATTTAAACTTTTCATTCAGTAAGTTTATTATCAGTCAAAATATTAACGTTCACCATGCAAAACTGAATGAAATAAGTCAATAATAAACCAAACCAAAGCAAATATAAAGAAACAAAACAAAAGCTAAAGTTCAAAAAACAAACATCTGTTACAACAAAGAAGTAGGTTAAGCCCTAACAACGAGCGTAATTGAACTTTTATTTAGGAATATTTGACGTTTTCCTACCAGCAGCACTGACAGGAGCTCATCCACATAGATTCTTTCAGTTTCTATGAGTTCCCTCATCACATGACTGCGACACAAACACAGACAGACAGAAAGAGAGACAGCCAGAAGTCGTGATTAGCACCGAGCATAGAGAATCACAGAGTAAACGACATCAGAAGCAGGACTGGGGACAGACAAATGGGTGAACGGATTCCTCCTCCTCACCGCTTTAAGAAATCCGGGCTGTCGTCTCCATCCAGACCGTATGACACACAGCTCCGGCTCTCCTGGTAGTCATGAATCACCTCAATCTGAAAACACAAGAAGTGGGTCAGAACTGATTGCGTAAGTTAAATAAGAAGGAAGATAATACTATTACTGATAACTTATTGGATCAAATAAGTAATGAGAGAAATATATAAAAAACATAATGAACTTACTTTTCTGGTGTTGGGGCTCTTTCGCGATGATTTCTTTCCAGGAAGTGTAATGTCAAATGTGAATTTTAAGCCATCACCTGTGAAATTCACATCATCGACATTTAAATAAATACAATTCATTAAAAAGTCTTTTTCCAAACGCTCTGAGGTAGATACTGAGCGGGTGACTCATTTAAAAGCTTAATAAAACAAAAGTACGACCAGGCATGCTAACAAGTCATCTTCTATAAGATGTGCTGCTGATATTTACAACTTTTGTGATTGCTAAGTAATAAAAACACATCCACAACATTAATCAGCGGTAGTAAGATTTTACCAAGTGTTATGTGCTTGAGGCACATTATTATTATTATTTTGTCCCTTTAATATATTTTGGGGATTTGGTTAACTATATGTTTTGTAATTGGTGTTTAATTGTTTTAAGCTGTGGCATGTTCAGCATGCCCATAAGTAGTCTGGTTCCAGGGAGCTCTCTCTCTCATTTTGGGCTCATTTTATTGTCTGCTCTCTGACCGCCCTTATTTTTTTTGGTGGGGGGGGGGGGGTTGTTTTTCCTCTCACTTATCCACAGAATGAGCTTCGACGGTGTTAACCGCAGCCGCTGGCCTCAGCACAACACGGTAAATTTTTGTTGTAACTTTGGCCTGGTGGGACCGGTTGTCTTGTTTTTGCTATTTCTTTAGCTATAGGTTTTAATTTTTTTTTTTTTTCTAGCTTTTGTCTGGTACTAGCAGCAGCTTCGACGGCCCTGTATAGGGTTGGTCCGTTGCGGTACCTTTTTTGTTCTGTTTGACCAAATTACCAGGTCCAACTTTGAGTTAATACTTTGGGATTTTTGTGTTGTGGATTGGAAGTACAGCTTCATCTTTTTTTTTTCTCCCCAGGAAGCTGTTTTTAATAAAATGAACATTTGAACCCTCATTTTTGAGTTCCGTGTCCTCCTTAATATGTTGTGCCCGAGGTGGACGTAACATCAAGTAAAACAGACTTTTATTTGCAAAGAGAAAACAGATCTGCAGATGTTAAGAGCAAAATCTTGACATTTAAAGCGTCTTGTTTTTTCATTTGTTTTACAAGAATCAATATTAATGTGCACGTGTGAGGTTCTAAAATATGTAACTTGCATCAGATCAGATTGATTAAAAGAAATCACTTTTTTCTTTAAGTGCCCTCAGAAAGCATCACAAATCTTCCAAACTGTTTTAACTTTCAGACAAAGGCACATTAACAGAGAGAACAACACCTTTAGGACACACATGAGTGGACATGGATAAAAGCCTATTTTTTATTTATTTATTTAATAAATAAAGATAAATTCTACAAAACAAAACTCACAAAAGGGAGAGCCGTATAGAGACATGGGAACATGATGCTGTACTAGCAACAAATCTGGGAAAGGCAGGTTGTGTCTTGTGCTTTAACAATGATGATTTGTGGAAAATATACATACAAAGTACATTAAGCTACATCTTTATTTTAAGAATGAGTTCATATTTTGTTTATTCGTCAAATGGATGTCGTCGTGCTGTACCATGCTTTGGAGAGAAGAGTGGCGACTTGGCGCGTGGTTGATTTTCAGGTCTGGGGGCCACCAGCTGCACTGGTCGTACATGTTTCTCAGCTAGCTTCCTTAAACAAGCTTGTCGGTTCTGGATCAGCTGCTGCACAGCTGCATGCTTCTCAAAGACTTTCCCAAAATGGGCCTATCAAAGAAACATAATAAAAAGAAGCAGAGACAGAAAAGATGCAGAGGCAATGAACACATGATTTCAACTTGAACGGCTGTAGAATAAATATGTAATTTATAACGTAAGGCAGCTGACCTGTAGCTGAGGCGTGATGACGGCTTCATACTCTATAGCTAGAATCTCAGGACTTGAGCTCAGCATAGATGGTGTTCCCTCCAAGAACCTCTCGATTTCCCTCAAAGCAGCTTGGGCCCCCTCCTTAGACTGGGACTTGTCTACAAGCTGATTGGCCAACATGTACGCTCCACTATCGCACCAGGTTTGGGCCTGAAGGCAAAGAGATATCTATCAAAGATACTTCCTACTGCACGTCTTCATATGTTTAAATAAACAAAGGTTTCTGAGTACCTGCTCGACACAAAGCAGCAGCTGGTGAGTTTGCATCAGAAAAGAGTGTTTGGTTTTGAGAGCAGCAGAGAGAGTTTCGCAGCGGTGACGAAGCTCGTTGCAGCGCTGCATAATGAGAGCCATGGCGTAGTGGTGACATGCTGACAGCTGGTGTCCGTGAAGGATGATGATCTGGGCTCGAGACATCACTTCCTGTTAGAGGGAGAACATTTTTTTATGTTCACAATGTTCACAACCTTTATTTTCTTTTCCACTTACTGTAAATTTATTTTTGAACACAACTATTCATTAAAAAACAAGTAGGAGTATCCAAATGTATGACTGACACTGACTAATAAAATATTTGCAAATATTGACAAAGTATGAACAGATTACGTGCTTTTTTTGTTATAAGTATATAGAATAAGTAAAAGCTGCTTTGAATAATTAGAAAATACCCTTTAAAAGTTGTATTTTTTTTAAAAAAGTCAATTTTTTTAGTGAGTTTGCTGTAAAATCTCCAGATGTAAAGATGATGATGGTGTCATTGGAGAAACACTGACCTGTGCGTTAGATTCCAGACTGTCGAGCCTTTTGAGAGCTTCTTCTGCTTGAACCAAAGTGTTTACATTGACGGACAGCTCCTTCTCCCGACCCATGAGATGATCCAAACATAAATCCATCTAAACAATAAATATTCCTTTAAGACTGTAAACTTTGATCTGATTATTCTTCCAGAACTATATTAAAAAAAAAATAGTAGGTTCAAATTATATAATACAGTTTTAAAGACACATGCTATGTATTTTATATCCTTGATTAACACGTTTAACACACTGAACGTATTCAAATGACAAACACATTTAACTGATATGAATGAGAAATGCAGAAGTTTACCTCCTGAAAGCTTTGCTCATATCTAAGGAGCTGAAGGTACTGATGGAGTTTCAGATGATGCTTTTCAAAGAAGCCATCAAAGGCAGACTCCATGTCTCTAAGCTGGGCAAGAAGCCTACAAGAAAGGGAAATTGTTAGTAGATGTAGATGTGGATGTTTTCGTCACTATACAGTAGTCCCTTGTTACTTGGCGGTTTGACTTTCGCGGACTCACTCTTTCGCGGTTTTTCAACGATTGTCAACTTTAATATTCACGTCATTGGGATGGTATGGAATAAAAAGTTAACCAAATAAATAAATACTTTGGACAAGGACTGCCACTTTGTAGATTTCTTTCAATAAGCCTACACTGTAAGGCCAGTCAAAGAACTACACTTCCCAGAAGCCAACAGTGCTTCCAGCCGCTGCTATTTGCCTAAAATGGAGGGAAAGTTTTGATCTGATACGAACCTATCTAAAAAGTTTGGTCCTTATTCATAGAGACTTGGGTGTTCAATGGAGGCAGAGAGCTGATCAGAACTGGAGCAGAACTACTTCCAGCCTCATCGGTCAATCGGAGTGCTGCTTGGTGGCCCATGAATCCTCTCGTGCAGGGAGGCGTTGCTTGGAGGTCCCGTGTCTACTCTGGAGCTCACCCGGACATTTTCATCCAGATTCCTCTGGATCATTTGGAATCGATCGTGATCATTGGTTGGTTTTGTGCTGGCTCTCCAAAGGTCCGGCTCTCTCCAAATGCATCTAGTGCTCAACAGCTGCAGAGAACCCGGCCAGAACCGGACCAAAGCTGGTGAGATCCTCATACAAAATTTTGCAGTAGCTACTGTACAGTACATAATATGTATGTTGTTAAAATTATGTAGGTTTAATAGTTTAGAACATTGTAGGCTTCATCGCTGCAGGGTAGGTCTGTCAAACCAGAACCGGGCCAGAGCGGAACCGGGCTGCTGTTCTGCAGAGATTGTGAGCAAAATTTTGCAGTACTGTACTGTACATATATGCATGTTGTTAAAATGATGTAGGTTTAAGAGTTTAGAACATTGCAAGAGTGTGGGAAGTGTTTATATATATATATATATATATATATATATATATATATATATATATAT